CGATAATTCTGTTAAGCTTAGAGTGTCCAACAGTGTTATAAAAACCTTAGAGAATTACAGTAAGATATCTTTAATCATTTCTAAGATACAACGGTTCAAAGGCTTAATCTAACAATTGGACAGTTTTGATATTACATGATATATATATATATATATATATATATATATATATATATATATATATAACGATATTTATTTTTATATATCAAAAGACAGTATTGGGTCAAATGTTTAGTAACCCTCATTTCAATTTCAAACATTTTCTTGAATTTCATTGGTTGTTAAATAAAAAATAAACTTTGAGAAATTTTCATAAGAAAACAGTCAAAATTTGTGCAAAAATAGGCTCCACCGACATAAAGAAAATCTTTCTCAAATTCATTCCTAATTTAAATGTTTCAAGAAATCCTATTGGCTAAAAAATAAAAAAAATACAACATACGCATTTCTCAGAAAAATTCGCAACAGCTACCAAGCCCCGTGGAGCCGATTTCGTTGTTAAAAAAACTATAAATAGATATAGTAAACGAAATTTCATCGCATTTGAGACTAACACACGCGAAAGATACACACAGGAATTATGTGCCGCCAAAGAAACAAACTTCCTTTATGAGAGATTAGAAAAATTTACACAACAAACGTTTTCACTCAATGTCTTTCATAGAAAAATCTTTTGTCTAAGTTAAATTCAACCTTTTTAATCAAAGGCAGAGAACTTTTAGACATTGAACATTTCCGAAACAGCAAAGAATGTTTTCTCCAAAATATACCTTTGCACACATCATTACAAACAAAAAAATTGTAAATTGTGTATATAAAATTTAATCTGTTGTTTCAAACATGTATTTTTTGTCGTGATTGAATATCGTTACCATTTGGACATTTCTTATAATTTATGTTTGTGGATATTGCATATTTTATTTGCAGCACAATTTTAAATATTCACGCAACCTTCTTAGATCCACTACAAATGTGTAACAAAGTAGAAAAAATTTTCCTGCGACGTGTTCTATCCTTTAGGATTTCATTGGACTAAATTTGTTAGTCGTGTTAACATAACAAATTTAGCCTGATGAAACACATCGCAAAGAAAATTTTCCCACTTTGTCATACATTTTCCCTATATTGTCCTTGATACATGAAAATATATATTATCTCATATATATATATATATATATATATATATATATATATATATATAACTTGTCTTTGTTAATTTGCCTGAAAATCACAGAATTTAATTGAACGTCTAATGAATGTAATCACGTCTTTCTAAGTAGAGAAGACCTAAAAAAATCTTCAAAGACGTCACACACAGAAAGAAGTCATTCATTATTCATTATACAGCATTTATGTAACAACTCCACTGAAAGAGGACAACAGTGTCATATCTGCGCAAGCCAGTGGAAGAACCTAAGTAAAAATCCACATCTGCGCTGACGATATTTGAAGATAAATCAGGCGATCACATTACTCAAAATCAATTCTCATCCATCGTGTGTGTATATAACATGTATGTGAGAGGGGAATATACAAAGCAATTTGCAGAAAAAAAAATTAACTTGACATGTTTCCAAGATGATCCTGCGTCATCAACAATAAAAAAAAATTTACAAGATCAAAATATATATTTGTAAAAAAAAAAAAAAAAAAATGAGATTCAAATTAAGCATCTGAACGTTTGATTTCCACTTTAAACGAATCGTTTCAGAAATCAGATTTCACTGGTCAACAAAAAAAAAATTGAAATGGTGTTGATACATCAAACATCATTTTTAGCTAATTTGAGGGCGCTGAATCTGAAAATGACCTTACTTTTTCTTGGTTAGCTAATGTCTTTGCTGTACCGAAATGCCCCATTTTTCGAAAAAAAAAATGCATTTTTTATTTGTTTTCTGTATATATGATATTGACCGATGGCAATATTTCTCAAAATAAAACCGTAGAAACCACTCCATTCGTATTTAAACCAACAAATATTGGTCTGCTTAATGAAAAATACTATTTTTGCAATAACAATCAGACTCTGAGTTTTTAAAAATAACACGACTGAATTTACCGAGACCAACAAGTATTTTCATCAAATCATTTAATAAACTAACATCAGAAATAAAACCTTCGTGAACATAAGAACTATGGTAAATATTTTCTCTTTCTTGATTGTCTGTCATGTTCAATGTTATTTAAATCCCTTTTGATACTCCAGCAGTATCATGTACAATGGAATAGGTGCATTCAATTGAGATGTCTTTAGTTGGAGTTTCTTTCCAATTGTGAAAACAAAATGCTCTTAATCTGCTTGGTTTCCTTCCGTAGTGAAGGGATAAAAGTGATAGGATAAATTTATGAATATCAAACAGAAGATTTTAGGGTTTCATTTTTTTGATGTCACCTTAATTATCAGGATTACTAAAGTGTATTCACTGATAAAGTTTATCAGTTAATTTGAATTTTGTCGATAAATTGGTAAAATTCGGTACTTCTGTTTTAAATTTTTTGACTCAAAACCACATTTTTCTTATAAAAATAGTTTATTTCAGGTGGCTGACATAAATTGCTCGGCCTACCTGAAAATTGATGGGGTTCTACGACCCTTATTAATTAAATGTTGCGATCAGCTAAGATGGTAAATTGATCTTTTTTCCAAAAATGAGTAATTTCAGTACAGCAAAAATGTTAGCTAACCATGAAAAACTAAGGCCATTTTCAAAATCAGCACCGTCAAAGGCACCAAAAATCGTGTTTTGACCAGTTTTTTGAACTAATTTCAACTCTATCTGTGTGTGTGTGTGTGTGTGTGTGTGTGTGTGTGTGTGTGTTTTAACCATTTCACTCTAAGCAAGGCGATAAAGCCACTAAGATGCAAAAGGTGTTACTGAGTGTAATGAAACTCAGAAAACATTATTAGGGAGAGAATGTAATACGAGAATAGGATTAAAAAATAGGATGATTTAAATTTTTGAAGACCATATTTGACAAGACCCCCCCCCAAAAAAAAAAAACAGAAGAGAGTTTCACAGGTGATAAGTGAAACTCTCAGAATAGCATTTATGGTTATATCTAGTAATTTTAACGGTAAAATCATGGAACCGATCTGCCAATTTAATGCTATGCCTAAATTCATGAAATCGAGGTACCAAAGCGCAAGGCTTCCTAAAACGTTTACCATACAAGTATTTATATAAAAAGTGCAAAATTACCATGTCACTGGATCTAACTAACACCTTTATCCACTGTGCCATGTGTCCTTCAGGACATCTGTGTATGAATTTCTGGCTATTATAAACCTAATGTCTTCAGCAACCAGTGCTCATATTGCAATTTTTCCTGTTATCATTATACGTTTTTACCAGAGCTCATATTGCAATTTTTGTTGTTATTATCGCTTTTCTCTGGCACTCCTTATTACTGGTTCCCATGTTGTATTCATTTCTATGCTTGGTCGGCTCAGGAGATTTTTGTGGCCTAGTATATGTGCTGATTCCTTAAGTTTATGAATAATAGCAAGGACTTAACAAACTATTACCACGGCCGAGGCAACTTAGTTTTAATAGAACTTTTACTGGGCATAAAGTGGGGGACTAGTTTTCTATTGATATTAAGCAACAAACAGTTGCCTTGATACCTCAATAATAAATGCATAATATAGCTGGAAAATATATTTAACCCTGCGTTCCTGAACAATTTTAAAACTGCCTTAGCTTCTGAGTCAAAATTCGCAAATAATTGGTATGTAATGTTTCACGGTAGATATAAAAATAGTTACAAGTGTTTACCCACCGGTAACTGGGCATTAGGTCATTTTTCTCTACCACCGGCAAAGCGGTGGTCAGGTCTCAAATGGTTAAACACTCATATGTGAAAACCTGATAATCATAAGGACTTTAAAAATATGTAAGCTGGTAATTCTACTGGACATAAAGTGGGGGACCGGTTTTCTTTAGTTATCAAGTAATAAACTGATCACCCGGATATTAAAATTTGAAGACACACATGTGAAATAGTAATGTCATGACAAAATATATTGTCGTTTCTGATGGTCTGGGTAAACTACTATTAATATCAGGTTCTACTGGGCATAAAGTTGGGGGTCGGTTTTCTATTGTTATTAAGTAATAAACAGATCACCCAAGAATTAATTAACAATTCCTTCTCATCATTTTTCATGGCCTGTGTCAACTATTATTAATATAAGATTCTATTGGTTATAAAGTAGGGGATCATTTTTCTATTGTTATTAAGTAATAAACTGATCCCCCCTGGTATAATTACTACATATTAATATTATAATTTAAAATATGCTTAAAAATTCCCATGTGGAAGACTAATCCTATTAATATTATATATACAGCCATTTTTGACAGCTTGGATAATCTAGTACATTTAGAACTTGCAAGAGTTTACTTACATATATATTTTAATGTTATTTATATATATATATATATATATATATATATATATATATACACACAAATATTTAAGTAAATGCACTGTTTATAATAAACAGTATTAACAACATTTGCCGACCTGAACGTCTGAGAAATTTCATAGAAAATATGCGTCCTCCGACAGGAATCGAACTTGTATCCAACACAGAACCGTCATATAGCCTGACGTGCTATACCAGTTTAGCCACGAAGGAGCTTCTGGTTAGTTTACTGTTTTTAAACTACAAACTTCCCATGATTTTCCTCGAAATGTTGGCGGACGCATATTTTCTATGAAATTTCACGGACGTTCAGGTCGGTAAATGTTGTTAATACTGTTTATTATAAAACAGAGCATTTACTTAAATATTTGTGTATATATAAATAACGCAAAACAATTAAATATATTAAAATAGTTGTTGGACTTAGTCCATTTATAGTCTGTGACATATATATATATATTGTATATTTTCTGGTCATCTTTGATGTCTTTTTCTTCGTTAAGATATCTTTTAATACAAAGAAACCCGAAGTTATACATGTTTACATACACATTTGATGTATAATGAAAGACTAAAGACATGTGAAATTGTTCAAAATGGTGATCCCTTGGGGACGGGTTCGATCAGAAGAAGTAGGAACATGCGGAGGCAATGAAGAGATGGTGGTGGAGACAGTGGCCGAAGATGACGCTGGATTTGACCTGGGGGATTGGTTGCTATGGTCACTGGCGTCAGAAGGTGAACGGAGAATTTGAACATGCTGACCATCGCGTCGGGTTAGCACCTGATTGGTCGAAGGCATGAGATTACTGAAATTGTTGTAGCCTTTGCAAAATGATTTGCGTGTTTTCGAGTAGGAAAGGATGTTCCCTAAAAAGTGAGACGGTGGAGGCAGTGCCTGAGAAGTTGGCTTTGAGGCTGTTTGGTTCTTTCTGGAAGAGAGAAAAAAAAAATGAATGAATGAAATGAAGCAGACATACAGGGTGCGATGGATAAATTGTCGTCTAAATTATACACGAAAATGACACTGATATCTCGTTAACAGATATACAGGGTGCGATGGATAAATTGTCATCTAAATTATACAAATATGAAAATGACACTGATATCTCATGTTAACAGATATACAGGGTGCGATGGATAAATTGTCATCTAAATTATACACGAAAATGATACTGATATCTCATGTTAACAGATATACAGGGTGCGATGGATAAATTGTCATCTAAATTATACAAATATGAAAATAACACTGACATCTCATGTTAACAGATAACAGATATATTTACCAAAATTACACAAAAAATATCTTGAAATATTAAAGAGTAAATTTATTCAATAAAATAGCAATTAGCTTCAACCACGGCCTCCAGACGACTTTGGAATCTCCTGCAACTCTTCTGGATGGTCTCCTTGTTTAAGTTGGTAAATGCTGCCATAATCCTTGCCTTCAGTTCATCTTTGGTGTTACAAGGAGTTTTGTTGGTCTCTCACTCAACTATGCCCCACATAATAATCAAGTGAAGTGCAGTTTGGTCAGTTAGGTGGCCAGATGTAAGGAGTGATGTGGTCGCTTACTGTACTTTAATATGCAGGGTGCGATGGATAAATTGTCGTCTAAATTACGCGAAAATGAAAATAACACTGACTTGTCATTTTAACAGATATATTTACCAACATTACGCAAAAAATATCTTGAAATACTAAAGAGTAAATTTATTCAATAAAATCTCATTTCGAGCTGCTATCCATTTAATCCAGAACTGAATAAAAAATGTTTTACTCGAGTTTACGTCGGCCGTTAAAAATATTAGAAATGTCAAAACACTAAAATATCAATAAACACATATAAAATCATATTTTAATAAATTTTAAAAATACTATGTATACTATATATATATATATATATATATATATATATATATATATATATATATATATATAATAAAATCATCAAAAACAAAAAAAAAATTAGCATAATAAAATATGCTAATTTTTTTACATATCATAAATACAGTAATAAGCAATGTGAAGTGCTTATTTGCAGTTTATAGTGTGGTTATTTTGACTTAAGTTGTTTTTCGACCTAAGACCTCTCGAAGCAATTAACGATGTAGGGTGACGTATACCTGTATTTGTATTTCTTTATCAAGAATGTAATTATATATTTTTTAAGTGCATGATGTTTCGGGACCGATATGATCATGGTTTTCCACAGATGCTTTTTCTTTATCAGAAAAATTTCCATGATTTCCTTGGAAGGATTACTCTTTAACTTTTTACCATTTTAAATTTAAACTCAAGACTAGAGAGCCCACTTTACCATACTATTTAGCCCCTAGGGTAGGAAGGAGAACTGAACGATTCATGCCTTTCTCAAACAGACTAGGTTAGAACTCAACTCGCTGGTTCTATTTTATGCAAAGATAACAGTTACGCAAACTACTTACCCCTCCCCCCCATGAAACTAATTCTTTTAGTATTTATTGAAATGACCTCGGATTTGGGATGAAAAGAATTCTGCTAACACTAATGATGAGTCAGTCTCTGCTGAATTTTTAAAAGTCTCACCATTAAGAAAGCGTGATACTTTGGTTGATTGGTTGATTCGTTATTTTACGGCTTATCAACCTTTTGCAGGTTATTTAAATCCTGGAAACATTTTTAGATTAGAGGAATTTTTGTGTGGTATAATAATGTTTTATTGATACAAGTCTTATTAATTAACCCATAGCTAGGGGGAGAAAAGGTGGACTCATACTGTTCCAACGGGCATTTGCGTATCAGCGAATATAACAGTCCAAACACTGGAATTGGGATTCATTTTTTATGACTTATCAACCCATTACAGGTTATTTAAAGACCGGAAATATTTTTAGATTGGAAGAAATTTTGTGGGATATAATAATGTTTTATTGATACAAGTCTTATTAATTAACCTATAGCTAGGAGGAGAAAAGGTGGACTCATGCAGTTTGGAATTGGGACTCGGCTCTTCGATGAACATTTCCTAGCAGTTATCAATTCCAGCAGCCACATGTGGTATTCCTAGGTGGTTACTCATCTAGGTACTGATCAGGTTCAACGTTGCTTAACTTCGGTGATCGTACAAAAACTGGTGTTTCAACGTGATATGGCTGTAAGCCCTAAAAAGGCGTGATACGGAGATGAATAGATAAAAGTCTTGACACCAGCTAATAAAAACGCTGAGATAGGTCCTCTCAACTTTATAGTCTCCTGATTCGAAGGCGGGGGTGCTTGTATTGCTCATCTAAAGAATGGCCCACGCTCTGCTAACAAAATCAGATAATTTTTCTGCAAGTCTTCGCTCGTCATTGACAATAAGGGTTGTTTTTATACTAAATTCCACCCAAGGTTCGAGAGCCACCTAAGGTAGAGGGTTAAAGCCAAAATTCTGATGATGAATGAGATGGGAGATATGAACGGAAGAGAAAATTATAGAAAGTAATGTTTATGAGGATATATGGGGAAATATATCGATTGACCCTTGGCGTGAAGACGTTAGGATTGTAGTGCTAAGGGGAGCACTCACTCTGGAGTCTGTTCTTCAAAGTGGCAGTTCTTGGACAAAAGCCGTTTGAGTGGAACTTTTTTCTTATATTTGGAATACGGAGGGTGATTCGACCACGTCGATTTGGTATAGCGTATCCTAAAGAATGAACTTCTGAACAATTGCTATGGAAATAGTGATAGAGTAGCGACAAGCACGCAACATTGCGACTGTGGGGAAAGAGATTGCAGAGTGGAAAAAAGTCTAGGAAAATTAATTAAAATCTAATTAAAAGCCCAAAAGAATATTACTAAGGACGTATAATGGAGGAAAACGGCAGCGATTAGCGTAGATTTGTTGGGGCCCAGCGGTTGACATATCCGACGAGTGTACGGCAGCTTCCATCTGCCCCCGCCCATCCAAATGACATTACTACATTTAAGTCAAGACACTTCCTCTCTCAGTTCGTTAGTGCACTTTCTGGAGGGAAAAGCGCGCTAACGGTACGATTCATGTTAGTCCAAATTCGCAACACTCAGGCGTTTTTTTTCTTCTTTTTTTTTGCAACAGTCGGTTCAATTGTGTCGATTCGAGGCTAGTGTTTGCTGCAGGTCAGGCAAATTACTGCTTTTTACACTCAGCCGAACCATTGAACAACAGGGCTTTTAGTCAGTGTCTGTCCATGTGGTGGAGCCACCTTAACAAGGAAGAACACAGGCTCCCTCTCTCAGCCCTACAGAATGCCTTTCTCCTATGTCCAGTGATGTCTGGCCCTTGTGGTCCTGTCTGAATCGCCTCCAAACAGCTACTGGCCACTGTGAAGCCAACCATTCATTTTCATATGTTTAGGTTTTAATACAATTGTCTCGACATCCGCCCGTCTCGATAGACGATGGAGTTGCGCCGTGTGCGCTACGAGCCTGGGCGGGATGTATGGCGGGATGTATGGAGAACTAGGGCTGCCCAGACGTCTAGTTCCCCCTCTCGGCCTTGCTAGCAGAGTCCAAAGGAAAGGATAAACCAATACAGTTTGGTACCAGCGCGGTTGCAGGAGTTGCCGGAAAGTACCACAGAGTGCCGTCCATCCGCCTTAGGGGCTCCACTCCGGATTTGTGTAGAGTTTACTCCTTAGTCTTCTCTTCTCCCGAAGATTTCCACGAGGCAGTGGAGCTATTTAACCCATAGCTGGGGTTTAGTTCATGGGCACCAGTGCGTGTCCACACACCGGTGGGCCTGCATGCCGCATGTTAAGGGGGACAAACTTCTCCCCCGTCCCCTGTAGTTTAGCCCGTGTGGCGACACATGGCAACCGATCACCTTGCTATTACAATTGTAATCATTGCTTTTTAAAACAATAAACATTGCCAAGGAGTGAAGGTAGTTAAAATAATAGTGGTATCAAGGAAAGAGCGTTCTTTTGACATTCCATTGTTTTATGGGCATAAAGGTCCATGTTTCCCAAAACATCATTCTATGATCAGGTAAATATGTTGCATTAAGCCTGTTGACAGAACATGGTGTCATTGTATGAATGTCTGGGCATCTCTCCTCTGGATTTCTTGATGACTACCCAAGGACTTCAATAGTTTGGAAATGTACGACTAAATAATTCATGGTTGAAACAGTGTACTGAGCATTAAAGAAAGTTGTGTCAAAGAGCAGCTGAAAAAACATGGACTGAAGGTGTTGTGATACTATGGGTCGACACCCACATAGAAAAGGAAGATATAGTTCATCTCAATCCAAAATGTTTCTGTTTTATAATCATCAGGTTGTTCCTTTTGAAGTCTACTTTTCTAAGTGGCAACCTAAGATTAATATCTTCATTTTTGTTGTTATTATCACCTGATCATCTATTTGAATTTCTGGGATTATGAGCATCTTCCACCGATGTTGATTCTAACTGCCAATGCGGTTAATCACAAACTAGGGATCATCTTCTAGTTTGCCCTAATCTTGAAGATCTGTACACACTTGAACACCCCAGGTGAGGCTCTGTGTGCAACACTGGATAGGTGTGGTGTTACGACTTGATAAGAAGAAGAACGGAAACTATACAAAACAAGCTATTTCGGCGTTTGTTCCAATAGGAGATTATTTCGATATCAGACTCATACCGGAGTTTGACGTTACGTATTCCAACCAGTCGTTTATTGAATAGATCGCAAAGGCAGAGTTGGTAAACCTTCTGCGTTGGGTGAAAAAGATAGAACGCATGTACCTGGAGGGCGCTCCATTCACTACGTATCATCATATGAGTGAAATGAAAAAAAAAGACTATTTCTCTAGTATAAATGACTGCTTTCTTTACTGAAATAGGTAAGAATGCTTCGGACACTGTTATTCGTTTTATTTTCTTGTAACTGATCAGTTTAGAAAATATTCGCTGGCAAACAAAGGAATACTGTAACGCTTTTAATTTACATCAAATTTCTACAAATCTTATTACAGGATAAAATATGGGGTTACTCTATCACGATATCAAATTTGGCTCAGACTGGTCTTTGGTAGCAAAGGTTGTCGTTTCGTAGTTGACTATGTCCGCCTCGGCTTCAGGTCAATACACGAAAGTCGCAAGTCAAACCGGAAGACTTTTCACCAGAAAAAAGGTTTACTTGTAGTAATAAATAGGACAACGCATATGGTCTCTATTGACTAATTTTTTGTTCCCAGTATGGAAATTTTGCCGACTACTTGTCAGTGACAGAGAGGAGGAAATGCATTAAATAATTTTCCTGTCCTAGCATTTTGCAGGCCATGTGTTTGCTGCCAAGCGAAGAATTCTCACTAGATAATTTTCGTAAAGAAACATATTTTACCAAGAAATCTTACGTTCTCGCTAGTTGCTGATTCGTCAGTTAACAGACCAATGAAAAGGCACCACCACATTCTGTTTCTTTTCCTTTTTTCTTGCGGCTCTGTCAAATATACCGTATTTCAGAAATATGATATATTTCTTAGAACCTGTGTGGCTAAGAGAACCTTTTTTTCTTCTTAATCCTTAATCTTAAATTATTTCCCTTTGTTTTACACACAGAATTACTTTAACCGAGCATCAGTTCGATTAAACAAATATCGAAGGAAAAATTATTTTAAGAACCCTTTTCTGTTTTGTTGCATCTACTGTTTTCATTATCGCCTATAATTCAAGTTACAAACATATAAAACCTAAGAAAAAAATACAAAACAAATAAATAAATTAAATATATAAACAAATAATATAATCAATTTAAAATAAATAAAATATATAAATTCAAGGTCATGACTAGAAATAACCTTAATCATTAACCATAAATAATAAAACAAAAACAGGAAGAGCTAATTTCTTTTTCTTCTCCCATTTCCTAAAAATACCCACCTATATATATATATATATATATATATATATATATATATATATATATATATATATATATATATATATATAAATGAGTGACAGAACTAATTTCAACTCGGAATTAATTTCAACTCGGAACTAATTTCAACTCGATTTAAAATCAAAGTTATCATTTTCCATGTATTCCGAAACAAAATGCAAAGAGTTGGTGTTAATTTTTTTTTAATTTAGCATTAAAAATCCTTAATAGATAATTCAGAATTCATCTTTCCTGCAACTTTCATTCTTTTTTGTTGCAAATGAATAATGTGTTACTTTTTTTTATTTACTTTTATTCATTTACATCTGCTCCAATAAAAATGTCAGGTGGCAGAGCAAAAAGTTTTCGACAGTCGCTGAAAGTTGAAATTAATTCCGAGTTGAAATTAGTTCTGAGTTGAAATTAATTCCGAGGGAAAATTAGTTTCGAGTTGAAATTAATTCCGAGTTGAAATTAATTCTGCACCGGACACACACACACACACACACACACACACACACACACACACACATATATATATATATATATATATATATATATATATAGCTGGCCACTCGTATACTCGTCTACTCAAGCGGCTAGCCAATCCCTATTGCAGACGCTTCATCAGGCGCATTTGTGTTTATACTGCAACTATGCTGAGCAGACCTTAGTTACAGTTTCTGGGAAAGAGCATGCTATCTAACACGATCAACTATTTGAGCAAGGCTAGCTTCGGCCACAATGACTTGTGATTTCGTGCTAGCATAGCCATCGACGAAGCCCCAAGGATCTACCCTCTATCCAATTTCACTCACAAGGCCTGGCTTTTTAGGCACTTTTCAAAGGTACCACACGCTGGGATCGACCCCTCCAGTTTGCGTCAGCTGCTTTTTCTAATCGGTCCCATTTCTGAAACGTAGTTCCATTGTCTTCGCTACTGTTTGGTAAGGGGTGACAAGACTTTCGGACCACGCTATATAATAATTTGGCTTTGGTTTTCCTCTAGTCGGATGAACGCACTAGATATTAGTGAAAGAACATTGGTTAATGCTATGTATCGCGAAATTCTTTTCATAATTTCATAATTCTGTGTAATTTCTCAATCTGCCCAGTACATGTGCTTTGTATTACCGTATTGTTTTTCTATTGTTCTCATTACTTTTTAGTACAGAGTGACAAGATTTTCGGACCACCCTTATATTCTGAACGCAACTATATGCCTTCAACTCTAGATAAAATATATTGCCGGTCAGGTTGCTTTTAAAAGATATTGTTGCTATTTTTTATTTACATAAAAATGTATTGCTGCTATTTTTATTATAAAACTATTTTTTTAGACTTCCATAGTGTTTTGTTTTGTGGTTTCACGATTTTCCCATAGCCGGGGCCCTAACAGGTGCTACCACCACGTCAACTTTCTGGAATAGATGCAGGTGTTAATCACATTATCAAAAAGTAATCTTTATATTTACGAAAAGTAGCGCCAAGTCAAATGAGGTGGGGGGGAGGGTAAAATCCACGTGCAAACGTTTGCCTTCGAATGTAGACCAATGATATCATTGGGAAGTATTCAGTTATCTGGTCAACTTTCTGATTGATTGGTTGATTTTGCTTCGTGGCATATCAACCTTTATTGCCGAAATGTAAATAATTTGAAAAAAATTACAGCTACTGGGTGGTCCGAAAGGGTGGTTCTATAAATGAATACACTGAATCTAGTACGTGTGCTTTGTATTACTGTATTACCGCAATTTCCTATGTGTAATACGCCTTCATCCATAATACGCAGCCCTAAAATTGTGCTGAAATTGTGGGAAAATGCTTCTACTCATGCATAATACGCACCCCTTTTTTGGTAATCAAACCCTATAAATTGTACCTCTCCAATTTCATTATGGCCAGTTTTTCTTACTCTTATTAAAAATGGTTTTAAACATAGAATAATATTATTCTAATTTAGTTTTATGAAAATTCTTATTTTATTTTACATTTGTAAGTATTGTTAGGTACATATGATTGTATTTGATATCCTTATGGGGTCGCAATCGCCGAATGTTAATGTCAAATTGCTGTATGTTTTTGGTGAGTAGTCCTTTCACAACTGAAATCGACCTATGAAACGGCAAATTTTTTAAAGATTTTTTGTAGTACCCCTAATTTTGTTTATTATTTTTTTGGAAAAAAATGCGTATTATACATGGGTAATTACAGTACTTGTTCTTCTGTTTCTCACGACTTTTTTGGTACAGAGTGACAATACTTTCGGACTGCCCTGTATTTTGAACGCAGTTGTATGTCTTCAACTATAGTTAAAATATATTGCTGGTCATGTTGCTTTAAAAAGGTATTGTTGCTAATTTTACCATAAATAAGCATTGTTGCTAATTTTACTATAGATAGGTATTGTTCCTAATTCTACTATAAATAAGTATTGTTGCTAATTTTACTATAAATAATTATCGTTGGTAAATTTTTTTTACATAAAATTGTATTGCTGGTATTTTTACTATAAAACTGTATTTTCATACTTCCATAATGTTTTGTTTGAGGGGGGGCACGATTTGCCTATAGCCAGGACCCTAACAGATGCTACCACTGCGTTAACTTTCTGGAACAGATGCAGATGTCCGTCACATTATCAAAAAGTAATCTCGTATCTAAAAATCACACTTAGGTCATGCTATTTCTGCTTGTTACCCGATAATACGTCAATTTGAGGAAGCTACTAATGGCTATGTAAGTAATTGAAGCAAGAAGCTTCGTGAAATAGAAAACCTTCCAGAAAGTACCTGACTATCTCTGCGATGCTTCGTCTTTACAAGATCAGACCAAAAATGGCGTAGTGCTGCCATATCTGAGCTGAAGGTGTCCGGTCGTCGATTTCCAGCCTTGACATCATTCAAAAATGTTTATGGACAATGAATTAGTTTTCAACCCTACATTCCCTTTCCTACAGACGAAACGTCGCAAGCCAATCGCTATTTTCATGGAGAATGTTCATGCATTTCTTAGTTTCACCAGTTCAGACCTTTACAGCCACGAGTCGCCATTTTACGTATACAGGGTAACATTATCCTCATTCATTTCTTTCCATTGGTAAGAAGGAATTTCACTACACAGTTTTTTTTTTTCAAGTACTTTTACTTTGAAGAATAAACTCCCGAGAAGATGCTTTCCCGATCACTACAATCTTAACCTCTTCAAGTCTATGATCAACAAATATCTAATCTATATTATCCTCAAAATTACTTTTTTCAATCAATTCACCCCAATCAAGGTGATTATGCCATTAAGGCACAAGGGAGTTTACTGGGAGTGATAGTATCATATAGGACATGAATGAGTGGAATCGCCCATTTATATAAATAAGCGGAGTTGAGGAGAGTTGGCATTCGGTCTTGGTGAGTTGACGGCTCGTATCGCTCCCGAAGAGCTCATGCTCATTGATCGTGTAAACGCATGTGACAATGTGTCGCCTCAGTATTCTGGGGTGAAACAGATAGTGTTTCTGTCGTTGCTAGCCATGGCTCGAATGGTGATTTGGACAACGAGGAAGGAGGAAATCTTGCGATGTGAACGCTATTCTCATCAGGATCTGGTCAGATTCTTTGAACATCAGATCTGATAGAAAGCGTTTGGTAACGACAGATTTTAGCGAAAGGTGGGTGACTGAGGCGAGCCTGGTTCGCGTGAATGGGACTATCCTTGATTTTCCTTTTTAAGTCTCCTTAACGCTCACCGGGGAGGTTTCTTGCCCTGGTTAGGATAGACCCTTCTTATGTACCTAGTTAATGTAAGTGTTGTCCCTGGCTTCTTTGATTATGATCCAAGCCGAGTTTCCCAATCTCCCCAGCTTTTTTTGGACCCCCTTTTTTCATTTCAGCTGGGTCAGTTTAATTTTTGTCTATGTCTGTATTTATTTTAACTTTACCTCTCCCTTAGCAAGAGAGGCAACTAATTTTGTCTGAAGACAGAATATGCCAGTCTTTCTCATTTCTTTTGAGGTACGACGGGTTCTACTAACATCGATTATTTTTAGTCTGTGTGTTTTGTTATATGTATATCCCCACCCTACTCATTGCTTATCATCGATAAATTTTTATATATCATCTTATAATCAAGAAATTTTATGTCATGGGGTGTTTTTATAGGTTTCCCTGTGTGTATGCTGTATTATGGTATCTGTAGCAGTGTACGATGATGGACGAGTTTTTGTGGTGGTTGTGTAAATTGTAACGAACGAATGAGCCGGGAATTGGATCAGCTAGGTATAAGATAGTGTCGACCAGACTCAACCCATTCTCCTATTTCGGCCTTGTGGCACAATTGCTGTATATATACGTAATAAATCTCGAGTTAACATTAGGTCTTAGCCGCGCTCTAAGGTCTTATTGCTTGTCCGACTCTCTGCTATCGGACAGAGAGGAAACTAGACGAGGCTATGCCGAAGGGCAAAGTCTCGTCTGGGGCGGTAGTCAAACCCGACCACGTGTGTACGGGTCTACGGGCAATTTTTATCCAAGCCTACGGGCTCGGAACGCCCCACATAAAAAACCGGCCTTGTGCCACATCCCACCTTGTGGGGAGGTCTCAGGTAAATACAGAGTTAGCATTAGGTCAGTTACTAATTGTACCTGCGTGTAGTAAACCTTCTATTTTTATTACTTACATACGAGTTTGTCTTACTAATTTATTTCCCTCTGTTTTCTCGAAAACACGAGATACAACAGAAAGAGAATGGGAAGACTTTAGAAAGAACCGGAAATCCAATCGTAAACAGGAAACCAGGGATAAACCTCTACTCCTGTTCAAAAGAACGAGGAGGAGTGTGAACCGGGCAGTAGGCGAACCTATCTACTCCGATTAAGGAAAAAAAATAAAATTTCAGAGACGTGAGAAATATAGAGTTGAAGTAGACTTTAGAAGGAACCGGAAACCGAATCCTAAACAGGAAACAAAGGATAAACATCTACTTCTGTTTAAAAGAGTGAGGAGGAGTGTAAACGTCTTACTCTTATAATGGCTGGTCGCTTGTATCCGAGTATGTCTGACTTCTCGGTTGCCTATGCAATCTCTGTTCCAGACGCTTGTTCAGGCAGATTTATTCAAAACCCACAGAGCCTACCAATGTTGAGCGAGACTTAGTTACATTTTCCGGGAGAGATTGAATCATCTGGCGCCATCAACTGTTTGAACAAGGTCAGTACGCCCAAACACTCGGTCACGATGACTTGTGACTACGTTCTAGCACAATCATCGACGAACAATTCCGTCTACCCAATATTACTCACAAGATTAGGTCTGTAGGGATATTATTCTTCTTATTATTATTATAAATAGATAAAAATAAAAAATAAAATAATAATAATAATGAAAATTATAAATAAAAGAAAGTATTAACATTAAAACGTTGTATAAAGTAAATTAAATAAAAATTAAAAAAATAAAAGTACTCCCAGCATGTAACAAAAACGGTTCCTGCCAAAAGTACGGACATCTCGCCAAAAGACGTTAAATTCAATCTCTTCGCCATGAACCTAGCTACGGGCAACACGTGTCTGACTTCTCTCTGTGGTATGGTTCGTAATATTACGGAGTAAATTTCTCCCTTGTATTACATGTACCATAAAACAATTGTAACTAAAAATACATACAAAAATATAAATAAATTGTATGAAATTAACATACAATTTACCATGGTTTTCCTGTTATTTTTGTACATCTTATCTCCTGTCAAGTATGCTTGTATCTCCGTGAACATAAGGCTAATTTCTGCTGCTATCATGTGAGTGAATCCCGTACAGGTCAGCCCATCGGATGGTTTTCAGTCACTTTTGCAAAGGTGCCGGGCGATAGGATCGCCTCTTTCACTTATAGTCATACAAAACTCATTCAGCAACACTGCTTTTGAGTAGCTATTGGGCCTTTTATTGGGTGAAAATTTTAGTAAAAAGATGTGTAATGTCGAGTGTAGAAACTTACCGACTGCAGTATATCCATAACCCCAGAGCACTGAGCAACATTCCGAGAAAGCCACATGAAATTCCAATGATAATCCCAGTCACTGTAAAAAAAATAATTTAATTTTATAAAATAAATATCTACAATAATAATAATAATAATAATAATAATAATAATAAATGTGTATGTTTGTTACTCAGAGTAGAGAAAGAACTGGCAAAATTCAAAAATTGCTACGACCATCAAAAAAAAAAGAAAAAAAAAAAGAAAAAAAATGGTGTCCATAACGTCGCTTTACAATTTAAAAAAAATATATTACAAAGATAATTGATGCGGCACCACAACTAGATGACCAACGATCTGGTACACTAGCACTTGGGGTACTGCAGGTTCGTGGGTTCCTAAATCAAACATTTCCCGACCAGTGGATTGGAAAGGATGGTCCAATTCCCTGGCCACCTCATTCACCAGATATCATTCCGCTGGACTTCTTTGTATGGGGTTATGTTAAAGTTATCATGTATTGAACAAAGATACGAGGCATCACTGATCTAAAGCAAAAGATCACTGATGCCATCGCCACCATTGATATGGCGATGTTACAGCAAACATGGCAAGAAACTGAATACCATCTTGATGTGCTTTGTGTCCATAGAGAAGTGGATTAAATTAGTTCAATATTTACTCTTCATTTTGTAACAATTTCCATATATTTGTCTGTTCATTTGCTTTTGTAATATTTTTAAAACAAGAGATTTTATGGACACCCCCCACATATATATATATATATATATATATATATATATATATATATATATATATATATACAAACATACAGTGTCCATAAAGTCACTTTACAATTTAAAAAATATATTACAAAAAGCAATTTGATGAGATATCTTAATCAGATTTGTTCTATGTAGTCAGTAGTTATCAAAGTTTTTAATCACATTGCATTTGTGCTTTTCAGGTATCCAGTTGATGAAAGAGGTACTGTTAAATGAACCCCTAACATTTCCCGACCGGTGGATTGGAAAGGATGGCCCAATTCCCTGGCCACCTCATTCACCAGATATCACTCCCCTGGACTTCTTTCTATAGGGTTATGTTAAAAAATATCATGTATTGAATAAAGATACAAGGCATCCCTGATCTAAAGCAAAAGATCACTGATGCCATTGCCACCATTGCTCTGCTACAGCGAACATGGCAAGAAATTGAGTATCATCTTGATGTGCTTTGTGCAACTAATGGTGCCCATAGAGAGGTGGATCAAATTAGTTAAAAAAAAACTTCAATATCCAGTCCTCATTTTGTAACAATCTCCACATCTTTCTTGATTTGCTTCTGTAATAAATTTTAAAATTTTAAAGAAGCTTTATGGAGACCCTTGACATGCATCAATAAACCTAAAAGGATAGAAATAAAAATAACAAGATAAAAACGAATAATTTTTTTTAATATGACTGCGCTTATTGCAGTCTCAATACAAATTCGAAAAGATGCTAAACCCTTAAGTCCTTATATATCTTGGCCAACTCCGCTATGATATCGGCTTACGACCATAATACGTAAAATTACCGGTTCTCGTAAAATCACCGAAGGTAAGCAACGTCGAATCCGGTCAGTACCTAGATGGGTGACTACTTGGGAATACCAGGTGCTGCAGATAATTAAGTCCTTATATATCTTGGACAACTCCGCTTTGATTTCGTTATATTCTCTTTCGCTCAGGTAAAGTATGAATCCTTTTCTTTTCTACCCCCAACCTCGCCAGGTATGTCTTAATTAGTAGGACTTGTATCAGTAAATCCTTATTATCTCCTTCTCCCCCCCCCAAAAAAAAATACGCATCGAAACACAATTGCAATTGTTTAGCGATTTTGACATTAATGTAAAAAATCTAGAAGAGTGTATAGCGACATGTTTCACTTAAGGTTCAAATGATTCATCATATTGCCCTGTTACTATTATGGTGCTCCATAGCTACCCTGAACACTTCTTAGTCACTCAAGAGTTCATAGCACTCCAATAGAGTTATTACAGACGTTGATAATCACTCCTCTAAATCTTCAATGAATTTCTATATCCTCGAGTCTATTACACAGATTCTACATGACCATTCCCAGTGTTCCGATTACGACTGCCACTACCGTGAAATTTGAATTCCACAAATTCCTCATGCTTCTGGTAAAGCCAAGTTACTTATCGATTGTTTTCGCTTTATTCCATAAATAAGGCTGGAACATCGAAATGCCCTAACATGTATGTTCATTTCTTCTTTATTACTGCCGCCTGATTCGGTTTTTGACATGATTCTTCGGCACCACAAAACTATGGAGAATCTTCTGTGACTCATTTTCTAGGGCAGATTCTTCTAGACTTGACTGGGTGATTCGTCGACACCTCAAAGCCCCGCAGAATTTTCTGTGTCTCATTTTCTTGGGCAGATATTTCTAGACTTGATTGGGTGATTCGTCGACACCTCAAAGCCCGGATTCTTCTGAACTTTATTGGGTGATTCGTCGACACCTCAGAGCTCCGCAGAATCTTCTGTGTCTCATTTTCTTGGGTAGATATTTCTGGTCTGGATTGGGTGATTTGGCAACACATCAAAGACTCGGAGAATCCGATGCGTCTCATTGTCTATGGCAGGTTCTTCTAGTCTGAACATCCAATCGTTGGCACCTCAAAGCCCTGAAGAATCTTATGTGACTTATTTTCTCGGGTATATTTCCCTGGACTGGATTGGATGATTCCCTGATCCGTCAATGTCTCGGAGAATCTTATATGCTTCATTTTCTAGGACATATTCTTCTGTTCTTAATTATGTGATTTGTCGGTACCTCAAAGCACCAGTGCCTGATTTTCTAGGGCAGATTTTTCTCATGAGGATTGGGGGATCTGTCGGTACCTCAAAGTCCTGGTGAATCTTATGTCTCATTTTCTAGGGTAGATTATTCTGGCTTTGAATCGGGGTTTTGTCACCCCCTCAATCCCCCGAGAATCTTATGTGCCTTATTTTCTAGGGAAGATTCTTTTGGCTTAGATTGGTTGATTGGGCGACACCTAAAAGCCCGCTGAATCTTATGTCTCATTTTCTAGAGCAGATTTTTCTGATCTGAATTGTGTAATTTATTGGAACCTAAAAGCCCCAGAAAATTTTATGTGCCTAATTTTGTAGTGCAGAATATTCTGGACTGGATTGGGTGATTTGTTGATACGTCAAAGCCTCGGAGAATCTCATGAGCCTCATTTTTTAGAGGCTCCTGTTTGGGTGATTAGCCGAATTTTATGTGAATCATTTTCTAGAGCAGATTCTTCTCACATGGATTGGGTGATTCGTTGATACGTCAGAGCTTCATTTTTTAGGGCTGACTCTTCTTTATCAACACCTCAAAACCTCGGAGAATCTTATGTGTCAAATAATCTAGGGCAGATTCTTCTGGCCTTGATTAGGTGAGTTATCATCAAGGTAAAATCCAGAAGAATCGTATGTGCCTCATTTTCTAATGATCTGTATTAGGTGATTCGTTGACACCTCAAAGCACAGGAGAATCTATTGTTTCTCTCTTTCTAGGGAATATTCGCCTGGTCTGGATCGGGTGATTCATTGACGTCGCAAAGCCCTGTAAGTCTAATGTGCCTTTTTTTCTAGGGAATATTCGCCTGGTCTAGATTGGGGGATACGTTAAACCCGCAAAGACCCGGAGAATATAATGTGTCTCTTTTTTGAGGGAATATTCGGCTGGTTTGGATTGGGTGATTCCTTGACCCAGCAATGCCCTGGAGAGTCTTATATGTCTCTTTTTCTAGGGAATATTCGCCTGGTCGGAATTGGGCGATTCGTTGACCCCGTAATGCACTGGAGAATCTAATGTGTCTCTCTTTCTAGGGAATATTCGCCTGGTCTGGATTGGGTGATTCATTGACGCCGCAAAGCCCAGTAAGTCTAATGTGTCTCTTTTCCAAGGGAATATTCGCCTGGTCTACATTGGGTGATACGTTGACCTCGCAAAGCCCTGGAGAGTTTTATGTGTCTAATAATCTAGGGCAGATTCTTCTGGACTTGATTGGGTGAGTTATCGTCAAGGCAAAGTCCTGAAGAATCTTATGTGCCTCATTTTCTAGTGATATGTGTTGGGAAATTCGTTGACACCTAAAATTACTGGAGAATCTATTGTTTCTATTTTTCTAGGGAATATTCGCCTGGTCTGAATTGGGTGATTCATTGACCCTGCATAGGCCAGGAGAGTCTTATGTGTCTCTTTTTCTAGGGAATATTCGCCTGGTCGGAATTGGGTGATTCGTTGACCCTGCAAAGCCCTAGGGAATCTAATGTGTCTCTTTTTCTAGGGAATATTCGGCTGGTTTGGATCGGGTGATTCGTTGACCTTGCAATGGCCTGGGGAGTTTTATGTGTCTCGTTTTTCAGATGAATATTCGCCTGGTATCTGGATTGGGTGATTCGTTGAACCTGCAAACGGCGTCAACAAATCAACCAATCCAAACCAGTAATCATCCAATACAAGACCTTGATGAGTTTTATGTGTCTTTCTTTCTAGGGAATATTCGCCTCGTCAGGATTGGATGATTCGTTGACCTGCAAGGCCCTGAAGAATCTTATGTGTTTTCTTTTCTTGGGAATATTCACCTGGTTTGGATTGAGTTATTTGTTGACCCGCAAAGCCATTAAGTATTTTATTTGTCCCTTTTTTTTTTGCCTAGTCTGGATGGGTGAATCGTTGACGCCGCAACGCCCTGGAGATTCTTCTGTGTCCCATTTTCTAGGGAATATTCTACTAGTCTGGATTGGGTGATTCGCTGAACCTGCAAACGGAGTCAACAAATCAACCAATCCAAACCAGGAATCATCCAATACAAGACCCTGATGAGTCTTATGTGTCGCTTTTTGTATGGAATATTCGCCTGTTCTGCATTGGGTGATTCGTTGTCCCTGCATGCCCTGAAGAGTCTTATATGTCTCTTTTTCTAGGGAAGATTCGCCTGGTCTGCATTGGGTGATTCGTTGACTCCGCAAAGTCATAGAGTTTCTTATGCGTGTCTTTTTCTATGGAATATTCACCTGGTCTGGATCGGGTGATTCGTTGAACCTGTAAACGGCGTCAACAAATCAACCAATCCAGACCAGTAATCATCCAATACAAGACCCTGATGAGTTTTATGTGTCTCTCTTTCTAGGGAATATTCGCCTGGTCTGGATTGGGTGATTCGTTGAACCTGCAAACGAAGTTAACGAATCAACCAATCCAAACCAGGAATCATCCAATACAAAATCTTAGAGAGTCCTATGTGTCTCTTTTTCTACGGAATATTCGCCTGGTCCAGATTGGGTGATTCGTTGACCCCGCAAAGGTCTGGATGTCTTATGTGTCTGTCTTTCTAGGGAATATAGCCTGTTCTGGATTGGGTGATTCGTTGACCCCGCAGCAAAGGTCTGGAAGTCTAATGTGTCTGTCTTTCTAGGGAATATTCGCCTGTTCTGAATTGGGTGATCCATTGTCTCCGCAAAGGTCTGGATGTCTAATGTGTCTGTCATTCTAGGGAATATTCGCCTGTTCAGGATTGGGTGATTCATTGTCTCCGCAAAGCCCTGAAGAATTATTGTGTCATTTTTTCTGGCTAATATTCACCTGGTCTCAGTTCGGTGATTCTTTGACCCCACAAAGCCCGGGAAAGACTTATGTGTCTCTTTTTTCTAGGGAATATTCACCTGGTCGGAATTGGTTGATTTGTTTACCCGGCAAAGACCTGGAGAATCTAATGTGTCTCATTTTCTGGTGATTTGCTGAACCCGCAAATGGGGTCAACGAATCACTCAATACAAAATATAAAACCCTTGAGAGTCTTATGTGTCTCTTTTTCTAGGGAATATTTGCTTAGTTTGGTATGGGTGATTCGTTGACCCTGCAAGGCCCCGGAGAATTGAATGTCTCTCTTTTTCTAGTGCATATTTCGCCTGGTCTGGATTGAGTTATTCGTTTTCCCCGCAAAGCCCTTAAAGGTTTTATTTGTCTCTTTTTCTAGTGAATATTCGCTTGGTCTGGATTGGGTGATTCGTTGGCCCCGCAAAGCCCTGGAGAATCTTATGAGTGTCTTTTTCTAGAGAATATTCGTCTGGTCAGGATTGGGTGATTCGTTCAACCTGCAAACGGCGTCAACAAATCAACGAATCCAAATCAGGAATTATCCAATACAAAAGCCATGGAGAATCTTATGTGTTTTTTCATCTTGGGAATATTCGCCTAGTCTGGATTGGGTGATTCGTTGTCCCCGCAAAGCCCTGGAGAGTCTTATGTTTGTCTTTTTTACGGAATATTCGTTTGGTTTGGATAGGGTGATTCGTTGTCTTCAAAATTCCGTAGAATCCAACATGTCTCATATTCTTGTGAAAAATCTTCTGGTCTAGATTGCTGATCTTATCGCACATCCATGTAATCATATAAAAGTTTAAAAAATACTTACTCGATGATTTTTTCTTATGAACAAGGAATGCTGACGATGGACTTGTCTCCGGGGAAGAATTTCGATCAGAAAGGGTTGTTTGACGTAAAGTGGTCGATTCCGTCATAACGACTTCAAAAAGAAAGAAAAAAAAGAGAAAGAAATTTGAATGGAAGTAATAGAAGGAGGCTGTAGGTTTTTGAATCGAAACATTATAAGTTTTAATTTATGTGTTCCTTTTAAGTCTTTTTCTGATATATATATATGTTGACATTCGTTTTTGGTGCGTGTTTCTTTCGTTAAACAGGCGCTCAAGACCAAGAAACCATGTTTACATCGCAATATAATTTTTTTTATATTTTGACGCAGATTAAAATAAGAAGACTTATAAGATGCATAAAATGCGAGATACACCCTTGTGCAAATTAATTGAAACAACCGCTTTAGATTCCTTTCTTTCACCATACGGTCAGTTTTAGACCCACTGGAGTAACAGGGTGTAATTGATTTCTATTTTTTCCTCAGATTAGGAAAGCAAGAAAATAAACTCTCGTTCTTAGCTGTTCTCGTAGAATTACGTAACAAAAGTTTCCCATCTCAATATATATATATATATATATATATATATATATATATGGTAAAAACTCTTGCCACCTTAATTTTAAGAGTGAATGCCCACTCAGATACAAAATAGCAGTGATAAAAAATCTCCTAAAGAGAGCACGCGAGAATTCATCATCTCGTCTACTTTTCCTTAAAGAACGCAACAATGCAAAACATACACTAGTTAACACTGGTTTTTCTAACTACCTCATCGACCACCAGATTTGACTATTTCTTTCCAAAGTAAATAATAACGATACAGAATACACAGACAAAAACAATAATATAAATATCTTCTACAAAAGCCAAATGCACATAAACATTAAATAAACAAGATGAATCTTCACTTAGAAATATCATAAAGAAATACACTAACCCAGTTGACCTGGAAAAAATTAAATTAATTATCTACTACAAAGAATTTAAAACAGCTAACCTCATCCTAAAAAATAGCAACACATCTGCAAAATCAAAACTACAAAGAACCAACATTATTTACGAGTTCAAATGCCCCTTAATCCTAGAACACTAACCATGGGTATATAGTACCCAGCGCAAATTTTCCTATTTTTAATTACAATTTTCAGTACCTGATTTTGTTACCTAAATAATATGTTTTTCACTTTCTATTAATGTTAATTAAAGTTTGTCGTGCCTGTATGTAAAACATTTCAGATAAAGATTTATATTTAATATTTTGTTTTTTATATTTTCAAAATCGAGTATGATATACCCATGGTTAGTAGTGGTGTAACTTTAATTGATGGTTAGTGTTCTAGGGTTAAAAAATGTGTTCCTGATCAAATCGAATTCATAAATAACAGTCACACATGCCTATCCAGACGACTTACATTACACCTATCCGCCACAGTGTGAGTTAAACGTGTTCTAATGGCACATTAAAACACATTTAAACACACAAACCTACCAGACTCCATCCGAAATATACTAGTAGAAAATACAAGCATAATAACCTCATCCTCGTGTAAAAAAGATTAAAAATAATGGAAGCATTAATAATAAAAAGAAAAAGTCAACACTTAGTAATTTTAACGACGAGCACGGCCACAATATGCTGACTGTGTTCAGAAAATAAAACATCCCTGTAAGTCTAGAAACATGCACACAACCCATACACCCAGTTAAAAAGCAAAAATAAAATCATCCTTCATAATGGCTAAACGTATAGCCGAAAGCGCTCGGAATTACAGAACATTTGGACAGTTTCTACACACTCTGTGTCGAGAAAAGAAAACACTTGTTCGAACACAAGAAAAATTAAATAAAAAGCTTAATCGTAGTACCTTGTCTGTCGTCTTTAATGAAACATGTATAAAAGAGGGGTTGCTTCCTAAATACACAATATATATATATATATATATATATATATATATATATATATAGGGAGTGCTTAAAGGTTTTGGGCCTGACAAGCTATTATAAAAAAGATTCTGAATTTCTCGGGTGAGGAGTTATCATTTCCATATATTTGTAGTTACAATGACAACGTTTCAGCTGTTGTGTTTCCGCCCTTCTTCAGATTTCTGTCGATTCGGGTAACCTTCTGGGAATTTCGAACTTAACTGACTATTCTCTGGAGTTTACTCGGCTCTACAGACAACTGAAGATGGTCGGTGTTCGATCGTAAATAATAAAAAGATAAATAAATAAATACATTTTCAAAAATTCAGATGTTCGGTCATTTGAACAGATTTTGGTACGTGGTCAGACCAAGAATTTTTTCCTCACTTCGTCATTTGTATAATGCATTTGCAAAATGACTGGACTGTTTTAACACTTTTTGATGGCAATTTTTTTAAGCATTTCATCCCATGCAAGGCAAGAGTACCACTAGCATGCAAGGGGTTACAGAGAGTGATAGCAAGAGTAAAAATGGTTGTTTTAGGAAAGGATATTGAGAAAGACGGGGATCGGGATCAAGGCATCTGAAGATGTCTATTGGCATTACATTTGAATATTTGAAGATTATAGTTATCGGGGAAGAAAGTAAGAGGAAGGGAGTTCCACTGTTAGGAAGTGCGAGAGAAGAAGCTGTTGGAGTAGAAGAGGTGGTTACATTTAACTGTATCGACAGTGAAATGGTGGGACTGAGATGCCAACCTAGTAGCACGCTTAAATTCATACAGTTTGTGTACCAGTGAAAGTAGCTCGTCAATGCAGTTGCCATGAAAAGACAGAGGGAAGCCACATCACGTCTGTGAGATAGTGACTGTGGATGAAATGCTATCACATTGCATATCTGTCTCTGGATTTTGTCAATGACGTCGAGAGCGGGGGTGGGTACCAGACCAGATATAGCATTAAAATAAAATGTCTCTTAAAATAAGACAGAATCGCTCAAGTCAAATATGTTTATGACCAAAGTTTTGTTAAATGATTATAGATCTACTATTTTGAAGTTGTAGCGGAAACTATTTTGACAACATTCAATAATAGTGTTCGATTTGAATGACAAAGTTTACCTACCATACTTACTCGGTGTTTTAGAGTAGCTGGTTCTTTTAATTGTGCTGCTTGTCGGGTAAGTCCTCGTCCTGATAGTTGTTACAGAAGCTGTAAGTAAATTAGAAAAATAGTTTTTAATGGACATTAGTTACGTATGGTCACATATTAAATCCCTTGTTTTACAACTGACGTTGCTATTGGAAACAATGACGTCATTACTAACAAGTATTGAAACCATGGCGCGTGCTAAATTTATGTATCTAAATTTTCATTATGCTGTTGAATAAAAATTTTGGCACCTTGCACAGGGGTCTCCAATGGAGGTCAATCGTTTTGAATTCTTTATGGTCTTTTTTTTTTATCATTTCACCCCAAGCAATGAAATAACACCACTAAGACGCAAGAGTTATGAAATTTGAGAAAAAAATACTCGTAAGGAGAGAGAAAAATAAAAATAAAAATAAAACAAAAATGAAGACGACAGATGATTACGATTGACGTTGCACTTAAGATCAAAGTTGACAGGGATGCAAGAAGACAGAAGACATTCACTGAAATGCATTTTGTTTAAAAATAAACATTATTCAGCAAAATGAATAAATAAAAATAAATAAATAAATAAAAATAAAAACAAAAATTACTCAGGTGAAAATTCAAACTTTGTATATTTTACTTTTCTTTGAGAAAAAATTATTTCTCCTACTGAACAAACTTATTGTAATGTATTTATTCACGTTTTACCATCCCCACTATTCATTTTGTGACGTAGGAATATCATTATTATTATAAATAAATAAAAATAAAATATAAAAGTAAATAAAGTAATATTTAAAAAAAAAATAAATTAAATAAAAATTAAAAATAAAATGCAACCAAAATTGTTCCTGCCGAAAATACGTGATTCTCCTAAAACCTTTTGGAGACTGCCGACGTGTATAACAAAAACAAAAAAACAAAACTATTCACCCAGATCATAGCCACAGAAATTAGCCTCGTGTTCACGGAGATAAAAGCATACTTGACAGGTAATAAAACGTAAACAAATAACAGGAAATACGTGGTAAAGTGTATATTAATTTCATACAATTTCTCTAGATTTTTTTTGTGTGTATTGGTGTGTGTATTTTTTAGGTTACAATTGTTTTATGGTACATGTAATAAAAGGAAGAATTTACTTCGTATTATTACAAGCCGCATCACAGAGAGAAGTCTGACACGTGCTGCCCGTACAAAGGTTCATGGTGAAGAGATTGAATTTAACGTCTTTTGGCGCGATGTTGTACTTCTGGCAGGAACAGTTTCTATTGCACACGGGAAGTATTATTTTTATTTTTTATTTTATTTATTTTAAAAAAGAGTTTAAATTTTATTTTATTTTATTTATAATTTTCATTATTATTTTATATTTCATTTTTATTTATTTATTTATAATAATAATGATAGAGTGGTTTCAAATTTGGTGAATAACTTTATATATTTAACTGTGCTTTGAATAAAATGTTTCCCTTTAAGAAAATTCATTGAAATGTATTGATTGGCTATTTTAATACTTTCAAACAAAGTCGCACATGTGTGGTTGACTAAATCTATGCTTAAATATATAAATATTGTCTTTGAAATGTAATTAAAATTTCTTCGAACATTTGTTCCGACTCAATAACTAGATGAAAGGGCACGCAGAACAAAAATGATCATTTCTTGCATCATGTTGATTGATTGATTCGTTTTTTACGGTTTATCAACCCTTTTCAGGTTATTTAAAACCAGAAAACATTTTTACATTGTAAGATTTTTTCAGATAATAATGATTTAGTTACACAAGTTTTACTAATTAACCCATAGCTGGGTGAGAAGAACTGGATTCATAGCTTTCCTAAAGGTATTTGCACGTAAGTGAATATAAGGGACACAACTGGAATTGGAACTCGACTCTCCGATTAACAATTACGAGTCATCATACATTACACCAGTCACACATCCAAGCTTTCTGCCCTTTGTTTTTCCAAGCGTCCATCTTTTCTTTTTCTTTTAGAAAAGCAACATTTTCACTCGGTGCAAAATCTGGGGTTTTATGTAATACGTAGTGTCACCAAGAATAAATTCATAGCTTTTACCAATTTATGAACATTTTGTTTTAAAGATCGTCTGAAAAAAAAATGGACAGAAATATTTTCTATTCCTGTTTTTGCTAACAAACTCATTGCAAAATGTTATCATTTCAAGAATAAATCCAAATAAAATTAATATCTTTGCATTGAATGGAAAATATATTCAAGCCATAATTCCAATTCACCTATGTTTGAACCCCAAATATTAGGAACAACAAAATATAAAAAAACACAAAAATATTCGTTTTTATTCTCACCGACCACGATACAGCAGAATTGGGTTGGATAAACAATTCACTATTTATAGGTGGTGTATTGTCCAGTAGCCATCTTATTGTTTGATACTAACCGTTTTTCGTGAAGAGCCAATGAATCGTTAGGGAAGAGTTGTCTCCCCTAACATCTACACTTTTTGGCCATTCGTTCGTATAACTTGTTTCGGGAATTTAGAAAAACAACAACAAAAAAACAAAAAACATATATAAGGCTGCCACTGATTACCAGATTTATAAAGCTGTGCTATAAGGCTGTCACTGATTACCAGATTTTATAAGGCAGTGCTATAAGGCTGTCACTGATCACCAGATTTTATAAGGCTGTGCTATAAGGCTTTCACAGATCACCAGATTTTATAAGGCTGTGCTATAAGGCTTTCACTGATCACCAGATTTTATAAGGCTGTGCTATAAGGCTGTCACTGATCACCAGATTTTATAAGGCTGTGCTATAAGGCTTTCACAGATCACCAGATTTTACAAGGCTGTGCAATAAGGCTGTCACTGATCACCAGATTTTATAAGACTATGCTATAAGGCTTTCACTGATTACCAGATTTTATAAGGCTGTGCTATAAGGTTGTCACTGATCACCAGATTTTATAAGGCTGTGCTATAAGTGTTACAGTTTTTTGTGTATATAATGTAACTAGTGAGTTGGCTCAAATGACTTGACTCACTTTATAGTCCACCAATAGAAGGTTTACCAATCAGAAGACGTAGAACATTCAATCCGTCGTGTATAAAGGCGGCCATTTTTGTTCACTCTACCCGAATGTCCAGTCCAGCTTGTCAGGCGAAGAGAACCAGAAGGACGAATTATGCTCTGCTACTTTTACCAAAATATCCACTGCAAACCTGAACATCGCTTTCCTACTGTCTTCGAAATATTCACTGCTAACCTCTGGATTCTATACTCGAAGACGACCGTCATGATGAATAACAATAAGGCCTTCACTGATCACCAGATTTTATAAGGTCTGTGCTATAAGGTTGTCACTGATCACCAGATTTTATAAGGCTATGCTATACTGCTTTCACCGATCACCAGATTTTATAAGGCTGTGGTATAAGGCTTTCACAGATCACCAGATTTTATAAGGCAGCGCTATAAGGCTTTCACAGATCACCAGATTTTATAAGGCAGCGTTATAAGGCTTTCACAGATCACCAGATTTTATAAGGCAGCGCTATAAGGCTTTCACAGATCACCAGATTTTATAAGGCTATGCTATAAGGCTTTCACTGATCACCAAATTTTATAAGGCAGTGCTATAAGGCTGTCACTGATCACCAGATTTTATAAGGCGGTGCTATAAGGCTTTCACTGATCACCAAATTTTATAAGGCTGTGCTATAAGGCTTTCACTGATCATCAGATTTTATAAGGCTGTGCTATAAGGCTTTCGCTGATCACCAAATTTTTTAAGGCTGTTCTATAAGGCTTTCACTGATTACCAGATTTTATAAGGCTGTGCTATAAGGTTGTCACTGATCACCAGATTTCATAAGGCTGTTCTATATGGCTTTCTACCCTCTCTCATTTTTCCACCTCCTCACCTTCATTCCTTATTCCAACCGCTCATTTTTCTCTCTCTTTCCTCTCTCACCTTCATTTCTTCTCTCTCTGTCACTTTCCCACCCCCTCACGTTCATTCCTTATTGCCCTAGCTAGTTTCTTCTCTCTCTCGTACTTTCCACCCCTCACTACCATTCTTTATTGCCCTACACTTTATTCTTACTGCCTTCCCTCCCTTTCATTCCTTATTACCCCCTCGTTCTTTCCCTCTCTCGCACTTTCCACCCCTCATCTTCATTCTTTAATGCCGCCGCTCGTTTCATCTTTCTCTTTCCCCCCTCACCTTCATTCCTTATTGCCCTCGCCCGTTCCTTCTCGCCCTCTTCCCTCTTCACATTCATTCCCTATTGCGTCCGTTCATTTCTTCTCTCTATGTCAATTTCCACCTCCCTCACATTCATTCGTTACTGACCCCTCATTTTCTCTCCCTCTCTCTCTTTCTTTTCATCCTTTCACCATCATTCTCCATTGCCGCCTCTCGTTTCTTCTCTCGATTTACCATTGATCTCTGTTATTTTTCCTTCTCTTTCGTTTTCCTTAATTATTTTTTCTTCGTTCTCTTTCTATTGATTTTACTTCATTATTTCTCTACTTCCATCTTTTCTCATTTTATCGTTATTTACTGAGCTTAGCTTACACAAATATGAGTCACCCAGTAGGAATCGAACTTACTATTAAGGGTTTTCAAGACTAGCTTGCTGACCACTACACCACCATGAGGTGCGTGCGTGCGTGCGTGCGTGCGTGCTTGCTTTCTTTCTTTCTTTCTTTCTTTTGAGTAAATGAATGAATGCGAATTTCTTTGTTTTAGCAATGATTTGAGATTTGCAATTTTTAGAGAAACAGAAAAAAACAAAAATACAAAACAAGTGATCTTTTTCTCTCTCTAAATTGTTTCGTGGTCTCTTTATCGAGGGAATTGGGCAGAATTTATCGTCCAGCAGAATATTCTATGATTTTTTTTTGTTCAATGCATATTACCCTTCTCATTATGCAAGACACATAGCAATTGAAATTCAAATCAATTTATTGCATTTAGCCAATAATGGAAGCACTCTCGTTGTCTCTCGCATCAATATAATTAAACTTTTTTTCTAAACTAACCAAATCCCCGTTTTACGAACAGAGAAAAGTAAGTTGTCGAAGAAATTCTTTCTCTTCTCTAACATTTTTTTTAAGCGTT